GAACACCAGTTATTTCTTTGTGGACTCTGCGCGGTTGAAGAAGGTCACGAACCTGCTATAAAAATAAACTGAAAAAGAGCTATTTTAATAAGACAGGATGGGTACGACATGTATGTGTTATTCCAAATAGGAAGATGAAATCCATAACAATTTATTTGGAAAATGATGTTGTTTCGTGAAATGTAGAATTCAAAACGGAGAACAGTTTATTCTGGTAAGTTGCATTACATGTATTAGCCAGTGATAAGGTAATATCTTAAAGGACATGGAAGGAATGCTGAAAGGCATAGTAGTACCTTAATGTGAGCCTTGTTCCGTACAATACTGTACGAGTAATATGAGCTCTACTCTTAAGTTCAGTGAGAGCGATAAAAGGGGCGGAGTGGGTAGAGCTGGGATGAAAAAGAATCTCAACTTGTAAAGGTAAGTAGATAAATATTAAATAGGAACACGGAACACGAGAGAGAGAGAGAGAGAGAGAGATTCGTTAAACCTTGAAATCATCAACCACCGCAGCTAAACCTAATCTGAATTCATATTGAATTCATGTATTCATCACAGTCTCTTTTTCACTAGTGACGAGTATGGCGGTTAAAATATTGTCACTCTGTCTCATCTCAAATGTCTAAAACCTCTGATAATATGAATGAACAGGCCATATTAAACAGGTACGACTAGTCAGTGTGATGAGTCTCATTCAAATATACCGTTTTTAAAAAATTAAACAATATGGCGTGCATTTAAGAATATATCTTTCGCCATGTGTGCAACACCCCGCATTTCAGTTAAATTTAATTAATTCCAGAACCATGAATTCCAGCACAGGGCCATGTTATAGAACTATGAGTGCTGTTGCACTGTGCTTGTACTTCTTCTGCTGTACTTGGGATGTGAATGGACTTTTGGCTACAACGACTGAAAGAGCACTACCACCACCGCCACCACCCTCACCACCAGCAATAACAACGGCAATGAAAGCATCACCAGCAGCAGCAGCAACAATAACAAAAGTTCCACCAGCAACAAAAATAAGAGTAAAAGCAGCGCCATCACCACCGCCGCCACCGCCGCCACCACCACCACCACCAACAACGGGATATAACGGGAGCACACTAACAGTCGACCAATTTCCGCAATGGATCCCAATGACACCCCCACGCCCTCCACTTTTAAAAGTCATGTCTCCACCGCCTGATTCTCCAGAGTACGTCTGTGGAGGACCTGATCGCGAGCCCCCGCCCCCTGGCCACGATGACATACCCAGTTGTTCCTACTACGCCAGAATGTTAACGTGCGAAGGGCATTGCGGTAACGTCAGCAGTCAACGGGGCGGCATTCCAAAGTGGTGTTCTTGCGACCACCAGTGTTATCTTTACGGGGATTGTTGCCCGGATGTAGAAGCAAAATGCCCGGCTGAAAAGACGAAGTATGAGCTTAGAAAAACAACCCTGAACTTTAACCTGAGCTATCATCCGGGGGCCACGTGCCAAACTCTGAAGTATCGTTTTGCCTCAATATACATGAGCTCAATAATGAATGTGCTTGTTTTTGGTAAGTGTCCAACGGACTGGGTGTCTGACACAATCTCGGGTGCATGTGAGATAGAAGGCAATCCTTGGGAACTTGATTTAAAATACATTTTACCAGTTACCGACAAAAACACAGGCGTGCATTTTCGTAACGCTTACTGCGCCACCTGCCATGGGATCGAGAACTATACGTTCTGGCAAGTAAATTTCAATTGTTCACGGCCTGTCTACCTTGAAAATTCTTCGAACCCCTTCATCGAACTAGAAAAGAGTGACGCATGCACAAAAACCATTATTCCCCCATCTTGGAGCCCCATCCGCACGTGCGAGCATGTTATCAGGGAGTGCTCGAAAGACTGTTTCAATGAAAAAATGATCCGCGACTGCCATCGTTACCAATTGTACGTCGAAAATAGAGACAGCTACAAAAACAAGTTTTGTGCCTTGTGCAACCATGAGAATTTACCTAACTTGGGGTGTAAACCAGTGACCGCCCCTAGTGGCAAACCAGGCACTGACATTTCATTTTTCTCCTTTAGAGTTATCATGGATTTTAACAGCCTTGATGGTCTTCGAATTGGCGTCAATACACAGCAGGATGAGGGAGAGATTGCTGGTAGAGAAACTTTATTAGACTGTCATGTTTTTGATGCATCTTGCCAGCCGATTCAGTGCTCACTAGACTTCAAGCTTGTGGAAGGCGTCTGCATGTATAAATACCCTTTAAGTGATGTGAGAATCGTGACGTCATGGGTGACGAAAGACCCAAACGAGAGACTAACCTTCGTAAAAGGGAGTCCTTTTCAGAAAATTCCTTATTTTAAAGAGCAGAAGGCAGACATAGCCCGAACACTGTCAAAGATCTTTGAGACTGGATTTCCTGTATATGGAACCGTTGTGACGAACTATGTTGACACTATTAATCCTCGAGCTGCTACCATGGAAAGCCGTTTTTTATTAAAATCTATAGAGGCAAACGTTACCCAAAGCCAAATAAATGCAACTCTCATCCTCTCGCTGGACATTGCACTTGAATCAATAATTTCTGTCTTTAATAATGGCTCAAAGAAAATATTTAAATACGTCGGTAATACCTACAGCTTCGATCCTTTCCACTCCGGGGTTACTGACTGCCCTCGTATTGGCCTTAATACGTCCGATTATGACATTTCGGGAAACGGGTCCATTTTAGTTCATGTCTCAAACACCCTGATAGACAGAAAGAATTATCAAGTGTGGGATAATCGGGCATGGGTATGTGCTGATATTGTCAATATATCAGAGGAACTATCAAATAATAACTTAACGGGAAACAGCCAGAACGTCGGTAACTTAACGCAAGCGGAAGGAATTGTAACGGTCGTATGTTTAGTCATATCATCTTTATGTATTCTTGTAAGGCTTGTCTTGCAATCGTGTGTAGCCGTCTTTCGGACGTTTCCAGGGAGACTTCAATTTTGCCTCCTTTTTGTCCTCTTCATATCGAAAGTTCTCTTCTTAATGAGACCATTTTTTCTAGGCAACGAAGTCGGATGCCAAATTGTTGGTGTATTGTTCCATTGGAGTGTACTGTGTTCCTTTCTCTGGATGAACGCCATTGCAGTCGACATGACGCGGACATTTAGCACGAAATCGTCACTGACTTCCGACCGATCGGAAGGGTCGAGAAAACGGTTCCTCACGTACCACGTCTTTACCTTGCTTTGTTCGGTCATTGTCGTGGTGTCATGCCTCGTGTTGGACTATGCCAACATCGACGAAAACTTCCAACCAAGTTACACATCAGGGGTTTGCTGGATTTCTAAAAAAATTCCTCTGATTATATTCATGGTAGCACCGATTGGTTTGGTCATCATTGTGAACCTGATCCTTTTTGTCATCATCTCCCGTTCCATACGCGGTGCTATGAAAAGAGCAGAGGGACTCAGTTCCTCGCAGAATAAAAACCACTCATTTGCTATATACGTTAAAATATTTGTCCTGATGGGAGTAAATTGGATTTTTGGATTCGTTGCCAGTTTGTTCCACGACCCTACTGTATCCAATATTATGTGGTATATTTTTATTGTCACTGCCACATTGGACGGTGTATATATTTTTATAGCAACCGTGTGTACCAAGAGGGTATGGGAGGAACTGAAGAAATTGAACGGGCTGAAAACTTGCCATCTCACATCTGATTCCACTCCGCTAAATTCTGTCTCGTCAAATACCTGTAGAAACAGCATGCCGTCGAAGAAAAGAAGCACCGAAGTTAGCTCGATTTGATACCATCTGCAATCACCGGAGGAAAAGGAAATGGATTTTCTTTTCTTTGCTACTCTGTTTTTTGTCAAGTTACCCAGACTCACAAATGTTCTGAGATTCGTCATTTTCTAGTAAATAATTGAATTATCAGGTTGAAGATTTAAAAAATGACAGCTACTAGACTACCGGGCGATCTTAATGGCGAAATGTGACAAAACACAGGTCGTGTATTGTAATCTAAAATGTCACGTTATAATTTTAGAATATTTGGGAAATGTTGTATATAAAGTGCTTCGAAAGGAGAGAATATCGAAACGCTGAAGAACATAGGAGCAGGTAGTTTTCAATTTTTCAACCCTTCCTTTTTCAACCAGAGTTACCATGAAAATCTGACTCCCTTAAAAGGTGACTCCCCAGTCAAATTTTCCTCATGAAAATCTGACTCCCCAGTCGAAGTTTCATAATGAAATTTTTACTCCCCCCCACAAACTTCACAAATCTTATTTTATTTGAGTATACACTGTATGACTTTTATCTTGTAGTATGCATAATGGAAAATACATTGGAGCTTTTTGTTACTTTGCAGGTGATAATTTTCAATAAAAAAAAATTAAAAATGTGTATTCTACCACCCAATGACTCTTCTTGAAAAAGCTATTTATTTGATATTTGGTGATCATTTCAACCTTTTTCTTTTTAGTGTACTTTATAAAAATATATTGGAAATATTTGCAAGTTTGGTGTTAAAATATTGGGTGCAAAAAAAATGAAAAAAAAAAAAATCATGAAAAATCTTTCATTTTCATATCCATGGGATTTGGTCTCCCATGAAGGAAAGGCCCTATTTTATATTTAGTCACCATACCATGATTTTCCACATAGTTTGCATTGTGACGTATATTTAATTAGTATTTGAAAGCTTGGCGGTAAAAATAACTAGCCATAGGATTTGTACTCCCATTGCATACTACTAGATAAAAGTCATGTACTCAAATAAAATAAGATTTAGTTTTTTTGGGGGATCAAAATTTCATGGGGGAGTTAGATTTTCATGTAACAGCAATTTATAGGGACCAAGACGTCAAGATAAACCAGATCCTAAAAAAAAAATGAAATTGAGATCCCCAATTTCTTGTCATGCAGTCTCTTATATATTTATATACACTCTTTCTCTCCGAACGGAGGACTCGTTATCTGCTTTACGTCAGCTTTTATGTACTATTGGAATCTTCCGTCCTACATGGACTTTATTTTGTACTATTGTTTATTTGAACTAATCGGTCTTTCCTAATAAGGCAATCTGTATGAGTCCCTGTTTACGCCTCTTGTTTTATTACATCACATTTGGAAAGTGCCCAAGTCTACTAGTTTGTAGCTGTTAGTCAAGTTATGGAATATCACTTTATGTACAGTATATGAAATTAACCAATCAATCAAAAGCTCATCTGACTTTGAAAATGTCCTTTCTCGACAAATACGAAAACAATTTCGCACCAATTGACTCTTACGATAATAACTTACTGGGCTTTTGTTTATTTGGATTTGATGTTTTAATGTTTTTGCGATTGATGAAATTGATGAAATCGTAACCTATTTCCCTTACATGCAAGTATAGCTGTGAACAATTTACAGTAAAAAAACAAGCCCCAAAAGCAAGCGGCATCTAGGATATGACTCGTTACCTTAATCACAAGAAAAAAGCACAATAATTAGTTTTCAAAAAGCCGCTGATAAAATACGTTCCATAATTATCATTTTTGTTAGTGCCAAGAAGTGATATTTGTCAATTTGCCACTCGCACTTTTGTCACGGAAAAAAAATTAACAGATAATACTGAGTACAAATTAACACTCTAAATACGTTACATCTCATTAACTCTGGCAAAAACAACCTTACATATGTCCTGTACTCGATCTACGTATGTTATTTATCATTATAAGTCTATCATTAGAAGAATACGGGATATCGATCAGCTGCCATCACGATCTGAGTTTCTAACCTGAAACCGAGGAGAAACCGTAGTATATAATTTATGCTGTGGTTCTGTATAATCACATTTGATGTCAAGCCATATATAGAACCATAGTACTCGGACTATTTGTATTTAACGAACGGAGATTATACGACTACAATAAATAAATAAATAAATAAATAAATAAATGATATAAAGAAAGATATAACCTAATCATAGAATGCATATACTGGGGTAACTTGAACTGATGAACAACACTTTGAAGGAATAAAGTGTATCTATTTGCGGTGCAGTCAAGTATGTTATTCTTCTAACATTTCACAAACTAAGTAAAACTGATGTCCATCACAGCCTGTATAAGGTCTGGCCTATTTTTGTTCCGAATCCCCCAAAAATTACACTTATCTTAAAGGTGCAAAATGTGCGGGTTGGAATCCCTAAATGATGACGATTCATCCTTAAAAATATTTATTTTCACAACAAATGTATAATAATAATAATAATAATAATAATAATAATAATAATAATAATTATTATTATTATTATTATACCTCAGAGTCCCAGTACTGTAACATACGCTGACTGACAAAACCCAGGTATTGGGTCGCGGGACGTGAGTAAAATCTCCTTTACACTGGAGGGCGTCCTTTCTGCGTTCTTTGTGCGACCATGGAACTGGCATGGCGGTGGTCGTACAATGTAGAAAGGAGACACAAGCATCGCTTTGGTTGCAGAAAGAATACCCAATGATCGGCCAGTTGTCGGCATGTAAAATATTTTTATTTTTTACTCCCAAGCGGGGCTGTACTACGGGACGCAGAAAGGACGCCGTCCAGTGTAAATGGGGCTTAAAAAACTAAACAGACGTGGGGATGAAATATGTCAACCACTGTGGAAAAAATCACGAATATTATTTTTCAGTTTCAGTGGAAAATAGACTAACACTGAAACTGAAAAATAATATTGATTCTGATTTAAAAAAAGAAGAGTGGTTCCTTGTATTCTATCGAAGAGATGCTTTTTTACATTTTATCTCTTGTACTCTGTCCTCATAATAGCACTTAACTTAATTTCATAAGGGAATTGCTAACATTCACTAAATCACTGAAAGCTTTACATTTTGTGCTGTTGCTGTAAGGTTCTACCGCATTTCCATTTAATTCTGAAAGAAGTAACACATGCGTGTAACTACAATGTATTACTATATATACAATGAGTATATTTCTGATTGGATTTTCAAGTGAATCAGATTCCATTTGGTTGTTTTACAAATACAGAACAACACAAACTTGCCAGTGGTTTTGTGCTATCTGTCATCAGTGGAGCGATATANAGTTACATTACTCACTCACATGATAGTGCGTATTTTATCTCGTTGGGATTTATTGAAGCTGTTA